GCCTTAAGTGTGCATTCTGCTTAGATGTCAGGGGGCCCTGAATGAGAGGCCCAGCTTTCCAGGCCTCAACACAGGGATCTATCTGGACCATAAATGGGAGTCAAGGGATGAAACAAGCAAGCTCTCTGGGAATGGGGACAAGTGGAGTTTGTTTTTTATTTTTTGTTTTGATAATTTTTCTGGGCAACCTGTTGAAGCCAAAAGGATTCAGGTCCCCAACAGGAAGGGGCATAGACAACACCATGGAGGGGGGTATCTCATACCAAAGAAAGCCATTGGTCAGATCTGGGAAACAAAACTGACAGAAACACACACACACACACACACACACACACACACACACGGGTGGCCACCACACATTTGAAACAGTCAGGGGAATCTGGTGACATTTCACACAGATTTTGGATACTTACTGAATAATGGTGATGTTCAACCTCTCCGATGTGTCCTAACAGAAGGTGCCTTATCCATGGGGCAAGAATAAGACCACTGCCAAAATTTTTGAGCCAAATTTGAAACAAGCTTTATTAAATACTGGCCAGGATGATGGACATTGGCCAAGCCCATACCCAGGACTTCCAAAGAATGGCATCAAATTACATTAGTCAGAGGCTTACAAAGGCAAAACCCATAGGGCTACAAACTTGCCCACCTTCATCCAATAGGGGCAAGCATGCATCCTGACGTACTTCCTGCCTATGTGTGATAAAACACATCCTGTGTAGTTAGGGCAACCAAGCTTGTTTACAGAAGCGAAAACATGTGACCTGTTATTTTATGTGAACAACAGCCCCTAGCATTCCAGGAAGTTATCTGTCCTTGGGCAAAGTGGGTCTTACAGGTTAGAGATACTGTTTTGTAGCTCTCTTAAAGCACAGTAATGTAGACTTGAAACATAACTTTAGCCCTCACATTACCTTCAGAGGTGGCATACCAGGCAACTTTCTAATTTATTTCCTTTTGGGGTGGAGGTCCCAGACTTCCCCAAAGTGTTAGGCAGTGGTTGATCCAAGGGAATCATGGGGATCTCAGGTAGTGAACTCCCAAGGAGCCCCTTGACCACCACATTCTTCCTGTTCCCAGGGGTTCTGAGACCCCAGTGTCTCAATGTCTCAAAGTCTGGTCTTTAGGATCTTGGGGGAACCTCGAGAAATACGGGGTATGCACAGACAAGGGTTTAAACCAATAGAAAGTCTTTACTAGCTGGCTGTTGACTGCACTGGGTGTATCAGGATCTCACTGTACCCCAAGCCTTTCTAAGGGTGAGCTTTTAAGCACAAAAACCATATTATGAGTTGACATTCTTGGCTTAACAAGAACCGTTAGCCGGAAGTGGATCTACAGAAGTAGAAACACAAGGTCAATACGTTTAGAGACTTTCCCAGAACTGTGGGCATTAATGATTTAGGTCTTCGTTTTCTTTTTGGCTAGTGAGTACTATCTATGTGCTGAGTTTTATGGCCTAAATGGTACCTCCATCATGGACTTACTTGTGTTAAGACCAGGGGGCCTGTTACATGTAGCTGCAAAGTGCTTTCTCTTTTCTTTAGCCCTGTATCTTCACTCAATTAGCAGTTTGTTTTGCTATTTTGAAGCTTTTAAGTTTCATGAGATTCTCATTTGTTATTGTTGGTGTTATTTCACGGAGGAGGTAAATTCAAAAGTTCCTTCGGTGGTAGCCATCTTGACTGATTGTCAAGAACATATTGTGGCCAGGCCTTAGTACACAGAGAAATCAGGCATATGGTGAGAGATAGCCCCAATTTGAAAAGATTTTGTAAAAGACACCCTAAAGGAGTTTGGGGGTCTGGCTTTGACCCACAGCTGCCTATTTCACAAGCCTGTGCAGGAACACAAAGCCTAAAGCACTGAATCCAGAACTGTAGACTGTGGGTCAGAAAAAGGAGGTTTGTAAGGTGTACCCTTGAGCAGGACATCTCCTACAGAAGGGGTCCCATGGAACAAAGGCTGCCTTTGTTCCTGTAACATGTGCGGGTCCTGATGCGGCCATGTCTTTGGAAAGTTACCCCGAAAATCAGAAGAGGCCCTAGGCCTCTAAGGCGGTGACGTGGAAAGGACAGCTCACCGGGCAGAGAGTATGTGCAGGGGTGAGGGTTGTTTTCCCACCATGCGGCCCTAGGCCGAACGCACCAGATGAAAAATTTCTGTACCCTGATATTAAGACTCTCTGCCGATACAGTAAAACAGATCAGGCCGAATTAAAATTTATGAGTAAAATGCTCCTGGACGGTCTCCTGGCCCTCAGAGAGGAGACAGGAAAAGGAATTGGAAAACCGCATGGCCTTTTTGCAAGAGGCAATTTAAATACCTTGTAGGCGTGGTCTTGAGCATCTCTGGAGCTTCCATTTCATGGGCTTTCTGAGAATGAGCAGGGTTTGGAGTGGGGGAGAGGGGAGGCAGAGTTCCACTAGGACAAGTATGATATCCTCCTGGCTTGTTACTTCAATGAGTATGAAGTGGCCTTTATCTCCTCCGAGTAGCTTTGGTTAGAAGTCTGTTTTGTCAGATATTAGCATAGCTATGGCTATGTGTTTCCTAGTTCCATTTGCTTGGAATATCTTTATCCCTTCTTGTATTCTAAGTTATTATTTGTCCTTAATGGTCTAAGTGTAGTATCTATCCTTAGAGGAAGCAAAAAGGTGGATACTTTTACCTTTCTTTTTTAATAAAAAAATATCTTAAAATCATGTAGGTTTGTGTGTTTGCATGTGGATATGTGTATGTGCGTGTAGGTGCCTTTAGAGGCCAGAGACATTGAACCCCTGGAGCCTGGGTCACAGCCAGTTGTGAGCTGCCTAAATGGAGCCTAACTCTGGTCTCCTAGAAAAACTGCAAGTGCTTTTAACCACTGAGTCCTGTATCCAACCCCTGCATCCTATTTAATAGTCTGGGTTGTTAATCTGTATCTTGGGGGGGGCAGTTAAGCCCATTAATATTCAGCTAATACTGTAAGATGTGTTTTAATTGCTGTTGTTTTATGATTTTTTGATTTTTTTTTAAAAGATACTCTTTGATCGACTGCCCTGATGTTGTTCATTTTTCTCTGTGGCCTCTTAGGTATGTTTATTCTTCTTTTTGGTCTGAAGTATCCCTTCAAGTATCCTCTGTGGGGCTTGCTTAAGGGTCATAAATTCAGTTTGTTTTTTTATCATGGAAAGTTTTGCTTCCCCTTCGTTCATAACAAAGAAGGTTATGCTGGGTATAATATTCTGGGTTGGCCATTGTGTTTTTCCAGAGCTTTGAGTATCTATTACCAATATTTTCTAGCTTTGAACAATTCTATCAAGAGCTGCTTAGATGGCTCATGGCATCTTACTACCAAGTGTGGGATAATCTCTTTTGTACACTGTGAAGATGTGACTTTGCCAAGGCTCCTTCTGATTGGTTTAAATTATTCTTTGAATTCTTTGAATTTGTTTATAACTGTCCTTTTGAATCCTATGTTTTCTATCTCATCTAATTTGTTCTTTGGGATTATCATTGTGCTATTGGTGCTTGCATGGGGCATACTGTCTTTTTATTCTTTTTTGCCTCAGGTATATTTCCCCAACAAGTCCTGGGTATCTGGAGTTAGCTTGTTGGTTGTGACTTTTGCCATGTATTTTTAGCCTATAGGTGATCTGTGTGCTAGACCACTTGGGAAGAGAATGGAGTATAGGAGGTGGATGGGGAAAAGGAGACCCTCTTACCATTCCCCACTGTGATGGAGCAGGCTTCCCAAGCTAGGGAGGGATGGAAGGAGTGCCTTGCCTGGTCCCTAATTAGCAGGTCTGGCCAAGATATATTTTAATCTGTTGTGAAAGGCCACTCACAGATTTTTAATGCAAAACGACGAGAAGAAATCAGTGTAGATCACAGTGTACAAGAAACTTTATTCCTAGAGAGAAGTGCATCTCCCTTTTGTTTTTGAGACAGGTTCCAACTATGTTATCTAGCTGGTCTTAATGTCCTGAGTTCAAATGATGCTCTTCCATCAGTTTTCCAGGTACCTGGGGCTACAGGTGCACAGCTGCATGCCTAGCTTGTACTTCTCTTTTCTTTTGGTTTTAAAAAATTAATTGAATTTACTTATTTGTTTGTTTATTTACTGTGTATATATGTGTGTGCATACACTTATGCACCATGGCACATATGCAGGTCAGAGGACAACTTGTTAGAGTCAGTTTTCTCATCCCACCAGGTTTCAGTCCCAGGGATCAAATTCAGGTCTTCAGGCTTAGCAGCCTTTACCCACCAAGCCATCTCAACTGGCCCTACTTCTTTATTCTTGATCCAAAATCCACACAAGCTATTCTAAAGACAATATGACTTTACTGCCCAGAAAGGTATCAGCAAGTCTCGCTTGAAAAACAAAAATCTTTCTCTTGCCTTTCTTAGAGGAACGAAAACTCAAAGAACAAGAAAAACTGGCTATGGAACAAGAACGTATAAATGAAGGCCTGAAAGAGCTCAACTGCGAAGAGATGAAGAATTTTGCCAAGTATGATCTCATTCTCTTTATTACTATTTCTTATGTAGAGAAATGTATCTTTAGCAGTCTATGGCCTTAGCCACCTCGTCCCATGAGAAATGTATCTTTAACATAAGGATAATGTACCACTAATCCATATATTACTGATATCATCTTATATTAATACTACACTGGCCCTTCTAGAACCTCAGAGCTACTAATAAGATTTAGTATAAAAATAGGCACAAGCTGTGTTGGTAAAGTCAAATGCCACTGTTATCATGGGTGTGAATATACACATTGGTTATTAAGCCGGATGAGCATCTTGAATAATAACATAAATTTGCAAGAAGTAAAAAAAAATAAGTAGTGTTGTTATACCAGGTTCCAGAGACTCCAAACAGACCATCACAAGGAGCCAACTCTGATGCAAAAGCCAAGGTTTCTTTATTGTTCAAGCCATCAGGGATCCCACTCGATTGAAGGGAGTGAGACCCTCCCATCAATAATTAAGGGAAGCTTATAAAGGGAAAGACCGTAAAGCTGAAGGCCACAAATTACAAAGTTTCCATGGTTACTCAAGGTCGTTACAAAGTACAAAGTATAGCAATAACTATATATTTTAAGCAAGATACATTTGAGCAAGATAGGTCAGGGGCATGGAGTCTCAGGCTCATGGGGTAGCAAGTTTGCCAATTATCCCACAGGCCAGGGAACTTTTACAACTGGCAATTAGTGGTTATCTGGTTTTCTGTAGAACAAAGGAATGTTGACACAGATGGTGGCACGCTAACTCCCTTTCTCTAAGAGCTGTGCTCAGGCTCCTAGTCACACACTCAGGTTAGGGAGTCAAATTCTCTTTATTATTAGAAATTCCCTTTTTTCTCTGCATATGTTCAGCGGCCCAGGTCTTTAAACATTTATTAATTTTATTTTGGCCTCTCAGTGTGAGTCAGCTTTCTAATACTGTGACAAATAAAGAAAACAATTCACAAGTATGCTGAGGCTGGTGTGTTTGTGCTCACCACAGCCTACAGGGTAAGGATCCATGGGAGACAAGAAGGTAGTTTGGTTCAATACAACTTGGTAGCACTGCTGGTTCAAACTTTGAGAGTCTGACACTCAATAGTGTATTTTAGGCATGTTTAAGCACGATTTGGTGAAAATTTTCCTGGTGGTACTTAAACCAGTTCTGTGTGCATAATAAAGCTTAAGACATTGAAACTCTTTGTAAAGTACAAGTGACACTTGCATGAAGTTGGGTTCTATAGATTGAGACAAACAAGTACATAATAAGGGTCTGGGGGAGGATCATTGTGGTCTCAGCCACATAGACAGCACAAAGGTCACCAGGCTATTAACCATACCCACTCCTGGGCAGAAGACAGATCATACACTCTCCTTCTGAAGAGACAGCTCTGTGTTTAACATGCTTGGTTTCTCTAGTGATAATCTGTGAGCATAAGAGCTTCTATGCCTCCCATACAAGGAGAAATGCTTCCTTCCTTCCTTCCTTCCTTCCTTCCTTCCTTCCTTTCTATTTTGGGGGTTATAACAAGGTTTGCTGATGGCTTTCCTCATCCTGTCTTTACATTCTTACCCTATATCAGGAAGTTTTCTTCCTTCTTTCCTTCTTTCCTTTCTTTGTTTCTTTTTGAGTGTAGGGGTTGTAGTTTTTCAAGACATGGTTTCTTTGTGTTTTTCTGGCTGTCCTGGAACTCATTTGTAGACCAGACTGTCCTTGAACTCACAAACATCCTCCTGCCTCTGCCTCCTGAGTGCTGTGATTAAAGGTGTGCACCACAACCACCTGGCCAGTACTTTTTCTTTTTAGAGAGTCTTTCCCTCACAGTTTCAGAGTTTCGGTGAATTATCACTATCTCTTTGGACCTATAGCAGTGCAGAAAGCTAATCACTTCATGGCCAAGATACAAGAGACAGGGAGAAGAAGGAGCTGAGGTCCCAATATTGCCACCAAGGTCAAGATTACAGTGACCAGAGGACTTCCCAGAGTGTTCTACTTAAAAGTGTCTGCTACCAGGATAGGGGACTGGGCAGGTGACTCAGTGGATAAAGGTACTTGCTGCAGAAACCTGAGGACTGGATCAGATAATAAGAACCCACATAAAAGCTGGAGGCAACCAGACACAAAGATAGGAGATCCCTGGTGGAAGCTAGCTAGGCTAGCCAGATTAGTGAGTTCTAAGTTCAACAAGTGACCCTGCCTCAGTAAATAACATGAAGAGTGCTTGAGGAGACACCTGGTATAGATCAGAGTGGTTACTAGCTAAATTAGCATGAATGGCTTATATGCACAGCACTCTTTGTATGTGTATCCAAGATTAAAATTCTTATGTGTTTTAGTGTTTTTGGAAACACCACTGTCCTGTAAGTCTTCTGTGGGATCACCGTGTTTCCTGATGATTACCCAGTCAGGCTTAGGTGGAAAAGCGGGCCACCTTCTCCTTGTAGCTTTCCTCAATACATTTTCATGGGGTGCAGTAGAAGAGGAGGGCCTGTATTCTCTAATTCAGTCATCCTCTCTGCTTTGGGAGGAGGAAGGCTTTCTGTTCATTCATTGATTCTTGGTGCATTTAAATATGTTCTTTTTTTTTTCTACAAGAGTATGATTTTGTATCTAAGCTTTTTGCCAGTTTGATTAAAAAATAGTATGTAGCTGATCCTATTGACATCTAATTACTGTTTCTGCTCTAGAGACCTGTCTTATTACTCTTGCCCCCTCCCCACCTCACACACACACACTCACACACACACAAAAAATCCTCATGTGTGTATGTGTGTAATTTGCTGTGGCATGCTTGGGAAGTCAGAGGATAAGTTGTTGGGGTCAGTTTTCATCATCTATCATATGGGTCGAAGGGGTCAAACTCAAGTCATCAAATTGGGTGGCAAGCTCCTTAACTGCCGAGCCATCTTGACAATTTACTATTTTGAAAAGTTTATTGTTGGAGATTTGAAAACATCTTCATAAATAGCATCCCTTCCCACTCAACATCAGGTCAACTGTGGGATAAGAAAAGGGTGTGAACTGGAAGCATTGTAGACTCCTATTACTGCCTGAAAACGTTCAAAATTTGTGGTTTAAATCAGCTTAAGTTGGCAAGGCTCCACTCTGTGATTCTTGCTTAGGACAGCTCATGTGGTTGAAGCCAGATTTGAAACTGAGGCTGAGTACACCTGAAGGCTTGACTGGGGTAGACCTAAAGACAGCTACTCATCACTGGCACTGTAGTGGGGGATTTCACATGTGTTTGCAGCAGTAACATGAGACCTGGAGTACTTATTTATAGACGAGCAACATGTCCTCCTCTATCTCTTCCCACTTTATTGCCTTAAGGCAATTTCTCACTGAGCCAGAGCCTAGCAGTTTTGACTAGGATGACTGTAGGTGTTTGTAACCATACACAGCTTCTTTGAGGGTAGTAGGGAACTGAACTCAAGTTCTCATGCTTGCATGGCTTGTTATCCTTTTGCTTAAATTAGAAATAAAGAAGAGGCACAGGATGAGACATGAGACTAAGAGACATATTAACCAGTTTATTATAGGCCCGGCAGAGTAGAGAGACTAAGAGAGAAGAGAAACAGGGTTAACTGCTGACTGCCATGACCGGTCGTGAGAGAACGAGAGGCAGAGAGAGCATAAGAGAAGAGGCAGAGTAGAGAGAAGAGGGGCAGAGAGAGTGTATATGGGCAGGGGGTCTGTCTTTTAAAGGGGTCCTCTACACCTTCGTGCAGGCTTAGTTCCCATGGAACCCTGGGCTGACCAGGGTACTGCCTGCATGGATTCTACCAGGTAACAGGGGCAGGCCAGCATAATGCCTGAACCTTTCATGGCTAGTGCTCTTTATTTTCCCATCTTGCCTGATTGTTGCCAGATTTGGGGTCACAACCTTTGCCCCAACAATCTAGGTCTGGCCACTTAGCTTCTATGAGACAATTTAAAAAGTCAAGTTAATAGTTAAAAACAGGAAAACAAAAGAGGTTTATTGAATGTGGCCACATTGGAAAAATGGACACAGAGATCTAGCAACCTCTCAAGTCCATCTTCAGGGGTCCCGACATGAGGGTAAGATTTAACTGAAGGGAAGGTCTCTCCAGAAAGTCTTCCCAACAAGTTGTATGTCTTTCTCTGGGAGACTAATTTCTCCCCTGCTGCCCCCAGAGCTTCAGACAGGAAGATATTCCTGAACTGTTAGATTTTGACCCAAGTGCAGAGTAAAGAGACAAAGGCTGACTAGAGACCAGTCTGACCTCAACAAATGAGTTGGGTTTATTAGCACACACAAGGACCAGTCTCTCTGCTAAGGGAATAGTTTTAGGAGTATTGGTATTAACTCTTCTTTGAAAGTCTGGTAGAATTCTTCCCTAAAACCACCTGGCCCTGGGTCTTTTGATTGGTAGACTTTTAATTACTGTTTCTATTTCACTGAGAATTATAGGTCTGTTCAAATTACTTATCTGATCTTTATTTAACTTTGGTAAATGACATGTATCAAGAAATTTATCCATTTCTTTTTTTATTTTCCAATTTGGTGGAGTACAGGTTTTTAAATATGTCCTTATGATTCTCTGGGCTTCCTAGATGCCTGTTATATTTCCCCTTTTCATCTCTAATTTGGTCAATTGGATATTCTCTCTTTTGCCTTATAGCTTATTTAGATAAGGCTTTGTTGATCTTATTAATTTTCTCAAAGAGCCACTTCTTTGTTTCATTGATTTATTTTGTTGTTTGTATGTATGTATGTATGTATGTATGTATGTATGTATGTATGTATGTATGTATGTATGTATGTATGTATGTATGTATGTATGTATGTATGTATGTATGTATGTATGTATGTATGTATGTATGTATGTATGTATGTATGTATGTATGTATGTATGTATGTATGTATGTATGTATGTATGTATGTATGTATGTATGTTACTGATTTTAGTCCTGAGTTTGATTATTTCTTGCCCTCTGTGCCTTTTGGATGTGATTTTCTTTTCCCTTTTTGTTCTAGTGC